CAAGCAATATTTTTCTATATATACTTATGATAAAAATTGACCTCACCACCTACAAAAGACCCAGAATGTATCTTTACTGATTGGGTTCCCCATATGTTCTATTTTGAATAAAAAGCTCCCCTTGGTTTTGTTATGTAATTAAACAAACTAATAATTTTTATTCTAGAAAAAATATATGATTTCAAAAATTAAAATTTGTGATAGAAAATATATAAATTACTCTCACTAACTAAAGTAAAGAGTCCTAACCAAAAATAAAAAACCTAAAGTAAAGACTCATAATCTACCAGTATTTTTTGAGTTCCCAATATGATCTACCTTTAACTAAATTATCATTTTTTTTAACCAGAATTATCATTTGTTAATAAGTAGTTAAACAGATATATAATATTTTTCATTCTTGATAAAAATATATGAAATTTAAAATTTATTAATTACTATATAAGTATGATTATACTTCTCCAATTCTAAATATAAAACATATTTTGTAGTGTAATTTACTATAAAATATGTCTTATAATATCTAACATTTCTGTGTTTAGAATTTTATAATTAAAATATGAAAAAGATACAGGTAATCTAAAAATTAAACAGGATCTTAGATAGACTTGACTTGCAAAAATTGTGAAAAAGACTTCATAACATTGACATTTGACAACCAGGCAAGCCGACAAGTAATTAATCTAGAGTAAGACCATGACTTTTTGACACAACCCTGCAAACAAGACTCAATTTTTCCAACCCAAGGAAAAATTATGTGTTGACTGACAAGAAAAGAACATAGGGATGCGTCATACCGTGAAATAGGGATTGGAAAGTTGGAAGCGGAAGAACCTGATCAAATAACCCTGTTTGCATGGTCCACAAATTTGACTAAATATTCTACTATAATTACTTATGATAAGCAAAATTAATCATTGTGATTACATGAAACTGTGAATATGACCATTAAGTTGGTTTTTATATAGAGAAATGGAATGCAGGTCAATATGTAAGTTTGTAACGATGACATCTACCACTCCTCAAGAAAGAGAATCAATTTGATTATTTTTGAGTTTCTGGCACTGAAGAAGAAAATTTTAGAAGGGAGAGAAATAATTTTCTAAGCTTAATAGTATCTCCAATAAGTAGGTCGGGAATGAAGTTCATATTATCCCAAATTTTTTGAGCTAATTTAACTTTTAATTTATCATAAATATAAGAACCCAATCCATTTTATTTTTTATATTTATTTATTTTTTTCAAGGTAATCCTTATAGTAGTTGCACATGTTAAAGATTTCATTAAATAATAGTTTTAACTAATACATTTAATTAGTAAATGTAGTTTAGAAAAGATAACACCTATTTATTATAAACAACTAACTTAACTAATTTTTTTAATTTAATCAAGTTAGTCAACTAACTCTTATATTAAGGATCGGGTAATACATAATTACAACTTATCTATACCATTTGATTTAACTAATATAACATAAACAATATTTTTTTGGGTGCTAACATAAACAATATTTTTATAAATATAAAAAATTTATGATAAAAAATGCCCTCACTAAATAAAGACAGGGAATCTATCATTACTTACTGAGTTCATAATATTGATTTTGTTATGTAATTAAACAAACTTATAATTTTTAATTCTTGAAAATATATCTGATTTCAATAGTTATAGTTATAGGTATAATAACCAAACGTTCTATCTTTAAAATTTTATAATAAAGACATGAAAAAGACACAATTGATAGTATAAAATTAAACAATGTCTAGGTAGATTTTTTGAAATAAACAGTTCACCGATTTGGTCCCGGTAATTTTTTTTTTGTCCTTATATACTTGACCAATAATTTAATTTAATTATTTTAATTATCAATAAATCTTAATTTATCCCTAACCTTCATCAATCACCACTAGTAATAATACATGAAAGAGTCCCGATTCAAAACCATTAAAATCATTTTGGAAGTGGGAGAATTAAACGTTAAATTTAGTCAAATCAAAGTTACCGACAAATTAATCACTCCGACATTATACGTTCATTTTTCTTTGGATGCGTTGATATAACAAATGCGTTGATATTATAAGTGATAGTATTTATATATATATATATTGATATAACAAATACGTTGGCCAAAAAAAGAGGAAGATATAACAAATACATTAAAATTTAGTATATACAATATCATGTCTTTCCTCACTGACTAAAAAAGGTTATTTAAGTTGTCAATTTCATTAAACTTATAATAAAAAAATTTATAATATTTTATTTAAAAATATAATATAAACAATATTTTTATAAATATAGAAAATTTATGATCAAAATTGCCCTCATCATTAACTAAAGACCAGAATCTGCCATTACTTGTTGAATTTCTTTGTGTTCTACTTGTAAGTTCCTAAATGTTCGACGTGTAATTAAACTGTCATTGAGTTTGTTGTGTAATTAAATATATTTATGATGTTTTTCTTGACCGATTAAGTTCTTTTTTTAAAATAAATTTTAAGAGATGAAAGTTTTTCTAAGTAGAAGAGCCATTGGATTTATTGAAAGCTATTATTTTTCTATAATTTTATGATTAAAAATTCCTGCATTATATTAGCTCTTAAGTCATACTATCTATTATTTTATAAGTGGAATAATTAAAAATGAAATCTTAGTTAACTCAAGGTTACCAACAAATTAGATTAAAAAAAAAAATCCATAAGCGTTTCCATTATTTGATAAATAATTATATTACATAAGTCGCAAGAAAATAATGATAATGCATAAATATGGCTGTAGAATAATTAGATGCGCCCAGAAATGGGACTACCTCGTTGGATTGCATAAATATTAAATATACATATTACATACGTTCCCCTTATAAATCTTTTTTTGCCAGGGTCCTCTTATAAATCTGAATGTCATTTTGTATTCAATTTCGTTTTGCTTATAATAAAATTTTTTGAAATATTTTATTTAAATTATATAACATAGAAAATATTTTTAAGAATATAGAAAATTTATAATAAAAATTTCCCTCACAGACCTGAAATCTACAATTACTTCTTGGATTTCTCAATATTCTATGCTTAATTAAATTCTTATTGATTTTTTTAATGCAATTAAACAAACATAAAAAATTTTTATGGTTGAAAAATATATGGCTTTTATAATTAATTATTATACTATAGGGATAATAACTAACATTTCTATTTAATATAATAAAGAAATGCAAAAAACATTTATGGATAGTTTAAATATTAGTGAATGGCTGAGTAACCTTGACTCAAAAAAATCACAAGAGAAGACTTCGTAACAATGGCAATCCAACAATCTCCGGACACGACATGTGGTTACGCCTCTTACAGTCCTTCAAATGATTGCTGCATAATCAATTTAGAGTAAGAACATGGCTTTTTGAAACAATCCTCCAAACAAGGCTTAATCATCCCAACACAAAGAATACCCATGTAAGTGACAAATAAAAAAAGTGTAAGTGACAAATATTAAAAAAAAGATTAAGATGAATATTTGTTTTAAAAGTTTTTATTTAGAAACGCTAGATACCCAATTTTTTCAGATGTAAATTTATATAAAAAATTTAAAATTATAATAATTTTATTTTATTGTTAAAAATTAATATTAATTATTAAAATAATAATATTAACTGTTAATATTTTTAATAATAAGAGAAAAAATTATTACAGTCTAAATTTTTTGAGTAAATCTGCACACACAAAAATTTCTAATTGCCTAACATTTCTGAATACGTGCAAGAGCAAAACGAAGTGGAAAACACATCACGTCACTTTCTTACACTTAGAGAATGTTTGGATGAAAATAAAATCATAATTTTAAAAATAATTTTATGATATATAAAATAAATATGTGGAGAAGTTTATCTCGATTTATAAAAAAATATTTTTAAAAAACATCTATGACAATAACGAAACACCCCCTTTTAATACACGCAAGAAGAAAAGAAACAAGTAGTTGCGTCCTGCCCCACCCACAGGCACGTGAATCAAGGAGGTTTTGCGTATATTTATGAGGATTTGAGGATTTCAGCAAATGTCTTTTCTATCTTGCTTATTTAGATGCAATAGTAATGGTAATTTACTAGTTAGTATGCATCATTGCAGGATATTTTTGACGATTGAATGCATTAGAATTTTTTTTAAAAACTTTTTGCAAGCATATATAATCTTTATTTTATTTTCAAAATAATTTTAATGCCAATAGTTTGAATTAAATTTATATGATTTAAATGAAAATATAGCATTAACTCGTTCTAATAATAAGAATGCTATGCTTGTATGTTTAAGAGAGTTGCGTAACACAAAAACTCTAATAAGAATATTATTCCTAACAATCACCAAGTTAGTTATTAAAAAAAATTCATGTTATAATTAATTGTATTTTATTTAGAGAATGGACAACGAAAGAGTGTCCTGAACTATTGAATGATTAAAATAAGATATCTACAAATTAATGTTCTAGAACTATTGTTGTTATTATTATTATAGGAATAAGGAAATTATATAATCCACGAAGATTAGAAATGATTATCATGTGAGGGTTTTTTTTTTTCCAACAAAAATAATGTGATAATCAAGTGAGACCGTCAATATAAAAAAAAACATTGAAAATAACAATGTACTTGACTATGTGCGACGATTTTATGGGCACTCTCTCCTTTGATACAAAAACATAAAATTTAATATAATAAAATAAAATTATTTTTATGAAATAAAAATTATCTTATGGGCATCCTATGAACATTGATTTTCAATAGCATCCGATATTACGTTGCACCAATATGTTTGGTTGACTTCAGAATCGTGAAATCTGTCATGTCTGGTTGTAATCAAATGTGACCAATTATAGTTATGAATTCAAGTAGGACAAAAAGAGAGTTGTTGGAATAGTTTGGATATTATTTGTCTATAAAATGCTAGAGGATTACTTAATCTGATACACATTACCTACACTACACGTTATCATTCAAAAGAATTGCAAGCATGGTGATCAACATGTTAAGCCGTACTTTCAATCTCTTTTTCTTGATTGCAACCTTGTGCATCTTTATGTGTGCAGGAATTCCCAACATGAAGAGTTGTGCTCAAACAGATAAGCAGGCTCTTCTGAAGCTGAAAGCTGGTTCCATTGATGATTATGGAATTCTTTCCTCATGGAAATATGAAGTTGATTGTTGTGAGTGGAATGGGGTTTCTTGCAATCCTTTGACAGGTCATGTCACTAAGCTGCATGTCTCATTGAATTATTTAGGATATTTAGCAGGTAAAATCGATTCTTCACTATGTGATTTGCAACATCTAACTCACTTGAATCTCAGCTTTAACGATTTTGGAGGAAATGAAATTCAAAAATGCGTTGGTTCTCTTTACCAACTAAGAGAGTTGATACTTAGCAATGCCAATCTCGGTGGTATTATCCCGCATGAATTGCGAAATCTATCTAATCTTCAAACTCTAGACCTTGGGTTTAATTATGGTTTGATTTCAACTGATCTTGAGTGGATTTCTAACGTTTCTTCTTTGAGACATCTTGATTTGTCACAAGTTAATCTAAGTAAAGCTATCAGTTGGCAGTCATCTTTATCAAGAAAAGCTCCTCAATTAAGAAAGTTGATACTTTCAGGTGCAGATCTTGTTGGCATTATTCATCATCAACTACAAAATCTATCTAATTTGGAAACTCTTGACCTTAGTGGAAACGATTTGATCATGAATGATCTTAAGTGGATTTCCCAACTTCCCTCTTTGAGGCATCTTGATTTGTCTCATATAAATCTAAGTCATGCTATTGATTGGCAATCATTATTGTCAGAAGTTTCCTCTCTATTTGAGCTTGACTTAACTGCATGTGCTCTACCTCAGGTCAATCCTAAATCTTTGGTCCACAATAATTATTCCACTCCTCTCACAAGCCTTAGCCTTAGCGCTAATGACCTTGACGCTTCAATCTTGTATTGGGTGACTAATATTAGCAAAACCTTGGTAGAAATTGATCTCTCTTTGAATTCTTTCCAATATATTCCTGCTGGCTCATTTTCAAATATGAAATCTCTTAAAATTCTAGATCTCTCGTCAACATCCTTGCAACATGTTGCTTCAAGCGCCTTTACAAATACCACTTCTCTTGAACACTTAGATCTTTCCAAAAATAATCTTACCAATGATATAGGGGAAGCCATCTCTCATTTATGTCTATTGCGTGAGTTGTTGTTATCCTTCAACAATTTATCTGGTCCATTAAGAGATTGGGTGTCACAGTCGTATTGTGCCAAACATAGTATAGAGGAATTGGACTTAAGCGACAATTCATTTAGTAGTGGGCCATTTCCTGATGTTTCGAAATTCTTATCCTTGGTCTCACTAAATCTTCACAATACTAGTCTTAATGGGCCAATACCACAATCACTTGGGCACTTACATCATCTTTCAGATTTGGATATAAGTCATAACAATTTGAGTGGGCCATTCCCAAAGCTTCATGAACTTTCATCATTGTCAGCCTTATATATGTCTGACAATAAGTTCAATGGTGTGGTCAATGAAGTACATCTATCGACTTTATCCAACTTGCGAAGTTTGGATGTCTCTAACAATTTCCTTTATTTCAACTTTAGTTTCAAATGGGTTCCACCTTTTCAATTGGATGAATTTTATGCGAGGTCATGCAATTTCAGCGTTGGCTTTCCAATGTGGCTCAAGCATCAAAGGGAGCTTTGGGCATTGGACATTTCTGATGGCTCAATTTCAGATTCAATTCCTGAATGGATATGGCTATTCCCGTATTTGTCATTTTTGAATATTTCGCATAACCAAATCTATGGAGAATTGCCAAAGTCGTTACCAAAATCTGGAATTGTCTGGGATTTTAGCTTCAACAATTTGTCAGGTGCCATACCGCAATTTTCACGACAAGTAACATCCTTGTTTCTCTCAAATAATATGTTCTCAGGCTCCATATCTTCTTTATGTGCAACATTGCAATCTCGATTACGTCATCTTGACATGTCAAGTAATTTGCTATCAGGAAAGCTTCCTCACTGTTGGAGTCAATTTCCTTTCTTGGCAATTTTGATATTGGCAAACAATAATTTCTCAGGGGCAATACCATCTTCGATTGGTGCTTTGGAGTTTATTGAAACTATCCATTTAAATAACAATAGCTTCTCTGGAAAGATACCATCTTTAATGAACTCTCTACTTTTGGAGTTCATTGATTTTGGCCAGAATAATTTGTATGGAGAGTTGCCGACATGGATTGGTCTTTACTTGCCAAATTTGATTGTTTTGCGTCTCCAATCAAACCAGTTTCAAGGAAATATACCTACAAGTTTGTGCAAGTTATCACTGCTTCAAATTTTAGATCTCTCACAAAATAATATTACTGGGACAATACCCCATTGCCTCAGTGACTTGAGTGCTTTGTCAAATTTACTACTTCCAAGGAATACCATTTCTTATATTGGAGACATTTTTTATTCTCAGTCTCAACGATCATCAGTTTTCATTGAATATGCAATGTTGAATTGGAAAGGGAAAGTGGTGAAATATGACAAGAATCTTTGGCTAATGACAGCCATTGATCTCTCTGGTAATCATCTGACAGGAGAAATTCCTCGTAGCCTAACATCACTTGCGGCATTGGCATCCTTGAATTTATCGAGAAACAACCTGACAGGATTCATTCCTAAAAATGTGGGTCAAATGAAAATGTTGGAATCACTTGATTTGTCAAGTAATTTCCTTACTGGTGGAATCCCAAAAAGCTTCTCGGCTTTGAATTTTTTGAGTTTCTTGAACTTGTCTTTCAACTACTTATCAGGAGAAATTCCACAAACCACTCAACTTCAAACATTTGATGCTTCCAGTTACATGGGAAATCATGGACTTTGTGGCCAGCCACTCACAAAAGGATGCTCAAGAAATAGTGACACTGATCCAAATCACAAGGCAAGTCTTAGTAATGATGCAAATGAAAAAGATGAACTCGTAACTTTTGGATACTACATCACCATGGTTTTAGGATTTCTTGTTGGATTTTGGGGAGTTTGTGGAACTTTAATCCTTAAAAGTTCATGGAGAGTGGCTTATTTTCAATTCTTCACCAACATGTATGACTGGATTTATATTCGCTTGGTGATTTTCAAGGTCAAAATTAAAAGGAGATTCCAAGACTAACAGGTATGTATAAATCTTCATTAGGTTATCATTTGATATACTATATGTCGCGTAACAAATTAAATGATCCAATGGCTTCATCCATTTTTAAATGGATATAAATTAAATAATTTGTGGTGATTTTTCTCCCAAATTATGCAGGTGGTTGGATGAAATAGTTGAAATCCCAATCCTTAGTGAAGACTTAGCCATGGGTTCTTGGAATTTCAAGTTTGCGAAAGCTAACGCTTCTTAGTAGTTTTTTTCCTTATTAAATCTATTAAATTTTGGATGACTGTACTGGATAAATATAATGTGGCTTCAATTTTTTTTCTTTTTAGCTTTTAGTTGGTCCTTTTGAACTTACATAGTTGAATATTTGAATGCTATGATATTAGTTGTGAATGTTGTTGAATTATGAATTTGTTCTGCCATTTAAAATAAAAGTATAGGAAACATATATATTATGACATAAGGGGCAGCGCTCTCTTCACTTGTCTCAGACCAGGGAAAGCAATGACGGCAAGTTTCATATATCTTCTCACATATAAGTGTTCTTGCTCTTATAACTATTTTATTTCTTCAAAAAATTATTTCTCTTAATTTTCAAATATTTGTCATACTAGAGCTTTAGCTTTTTCATATATCTTTAAATTAATTAATTGGTTATTTTTGGAAAAATGTTTTACCTGGTAAAATTGCTTATTTTGGGCCTTAGTTTGGTGGACCAAATTTGTGAACTTCAACCTGTTTTAAATTTTTTTTAAATATTGTTTCGTTTTATGTTGAGTTATTTATATCTACTTTTATTCGTTTTCTCATGATTCCTTTTGTAAAAACTTTTGAAACGGGTTAAAAATTAATGATTAAAGAAGTAAAGTTTTTCGTTGACTCTGATCCATGAAATTTACTTCATTATGCATGTTGTATTAATTCAAATTTGGATATACTTTTCTTAAATTTGTTATTATAACCAGGTAATTATCCTTGATCAAGTGAAAAAAGAAAGCCTACAGTTGCTGAATTGAGAAGATGAATAAAGTTTTTGAAGGAAGCAGATAAACAAGGGCAATAACAAAATATTTGTAAGTCTCCTGCTTGAAAATGAAAAATTCTCACTTAAAATTTCAAAGATTTTCAAAATTTGTGAAGGTTGAAAATGACAAGACATTGATATCATCATGTGAATTGATTTGAGTCTTATAGATAGCTGAGTGCGAAGAAGAACTTTCAAAAGGTGAAGACACGAAGCAGAACGTACTACAATTATTTTGAAAAATGATACAAAATATTTGTGGCACCTCATTTTTTATTTATTAATTTTTAGTCTGAGTTAGCTTTGTAATGGAGACAGCTATATGTAAAATTTAAGAGGGGAAGAGGCTGCTTCCCCAGTGCAAGTTATATAAGGTAGCATAATATCTTGTATTTTTAGTGATTTCCCAACATAACAAAAAATCCTTTACTTTGTGTTTGGACACATTTTGTCCAAACCATTGTGTTAATTTAATCTATTGTGTCATTGTTTCCAGTTAAGCAAGAATGACGGAAAAGATCCATCATATATAAGAAAACAAAAAGGAAAAAAAAAAAACACAACATAATAAGGATTGTTTTTTTATTTATTTTCTTATCTCTTATATTTTGATGGGGGATGCTTGTGTCAATTGATAATTGATTTGTACCCTTTTCATCTTTTAACCTCCGATCTATGATACGAGTGAGTTGTTATATATCTTTTCATCGAGAAAAAAAAATTAGGGAGAAGACTTGTATGATTTTTGGTCCCACAATATTATAAAGATGCTTATCAGTAAATTATTCTTAAGAATTGAGGCTTTGTAGGAAACTAGGAGGAACAAAAGCACAAAGAAAGTTATTCTTTTTTTTTTTTGTAATAAATAACAATGATAACAGTAAAAAGATACGACACAATAAATCCCTATTTTAAAGAACAGGGGTGTTAGAGTTCAAAAATAATAAGGTTTTTATCTCAAGTATAGAGTTCAAAACTAGAATAAAACTGATAAGGGCACTGATATCTTCTGCAATTGGGAGCATAACTAATTGAAACTTGTAATGACAAGGAACCTTCTTGAAGCCAATTGCTTTTACCAATTCTCGTGGAAAATTCCTTGAGGAACTGTAAGTCATAATCCAAAAGCAGATTCTTCGAAGGCACATGAGGAAAAAAATTTGGTGATGTGGTACGTACCCTGATTCCTTGCCCATACAAAATGGTGAATCAAATCCCCGCAATACCTAATATTGATACTGATGAGAAAAGAAGTTTTCTTTCTTTTAATCTTTTTGATCCAAGTAGTCCATCATTGCAAAAATTCATTTGATGGAAAGCTGACATTTAGCAAATCCAAAAGGTAGCGACAAGGAATTGAAATTGGCCATTTGCAAGCTGAGCTCAAGTGATGGAAAATGCCCTTGAATTCCATTATCATCATAGAATGAGGATTAAATGAACCTTTGAGTGTACTGCTTGATTCCTCTTCCTACAAATTAAATTTAGGAAAATAACGATTTGTGCCATAATTTGGGCGTTCGTGCTCTCAAGAAGAGATGATATCATGTTTCTAACCTATACTATTGCACCCTACAGATGGATTAGGTCAATTCGGCTATCAAAAGTCCCAAACCAAGCAGCTCTAGAGAAAGGACAAACGAAAAATAAATTATCTATAGTTTTTTCATCATGGTATGTAAATGAGCATAAAGAGAGTACATTAAGATGATGAGCTTTGAAAATCTTTCCAATTGGCAAAAAACCTTTCAAGAATTTTCATAAAAATTGTAAATATAATGCGTTACATAGATACATAGATTAAAAGGTATTTATAATTTATAATTTTTATTAATTAAAAAAATACTTTTTGATTATTTTGAAAGTGTTTTTCGAGAAAGTGTTTTCTTCTTACGCTTAACACACGCAGGAGAAAAGGAATTAAGTAATTGTGTCCTGCCCCACCCACTATGGCACGTGAATCAAGGAGGTTTTGAGTATATTTCTGAGGATTTGAGGATTTCAGCGAATGCCTGTTCTATCTTGCTTATTTAGATACAATAGTAATAGTAATTTACAAGTTAGTATGCACCCTCGTGGGGATATCTTTGACGATTGAATGCATTAGAATTTTTTTTTTAAATTTTTGTAAGCATGCATAATCTTTATTTTATTTTCAAAATAATTTTAATGCCAATAGTTTGAATTTAATTTATATGTTTTAAATGAAAATATGGCATTAACTCATTCTAATAATAAGAATGCTATGCTTGTGTGTTTAAGAGAGTATGCGTAACACAAAAACTCTAATAAGAATATTATTCCTAATCAATCACCAAGTTACTTATTTTAAAAAAAATCATGTTATAATTAATTGTATTTTGTTTAGAGAGTGTACAACTAAAGGGTGTCCTGAACTATTGGATGATTAAAACAAGATATCTACAAATTAATTTTTTAGAAATATTATTATTATTATTATTAGTATTAGTATTAGTATTATTATTAAGAATAAGGAAATTATATAATCCACGAAGAAGATTAGAAATGATTATAATGTGAGAGTATTTTTTTTCCAACTAAAATTATGTGATAATCAATTGAGACCGTAAATACAAAAAAACATTGAAAGTAACAGTGTACTTGAATATGTGCGACAATTTTATGGGCACTCTCTCGTTTGATACAAAAAAATAAAATTTAATAGAAAAATATCAAATAAAATTATTTTTATGAAATTAAAATTATTTTATGGGCATCCCATGAACATTGATTTTCAATAGCATCCGAAATTATGTTGCACCATATGTTTGGTTGACTTCAGAATCATAAAGTCTACCATGAACCCTTTACTTATGATAACCGAAATTATGAAATTAAAACTACTCGTAATCAAATGTAACTAATTATAGTTATGAATTCAAGTGGGGAAAAAGAAGAGTAGTTGGAATAGTTTGGATATTATTTGTCTATAAAAGGCCAGAGAATTACTTAATCTGATACACATTACCTATACTTCACTTTATCATTCAAAAGAATTGCAAGCATGGCGATCAACATGTTTAGCCATACTTCGAATCTCTTTTTCTTGATTGCAACCTTGTGCGTCTCTATATGTGCAGGAATTCCCAACATGAAGAGTTGTGTTGAAACAGATGAGAAAACTCTTCTAAAGTTGAAAGCTGGTTTCATTGATCATTATGGAATTCTTTCCTCATGGAAACACGAAGTTGATTGTTGTGAGTGGAATGGAATTTCCTGCAATTATTTGACAGGTCATTTCACCAAATTGCATGTCCTGTCTAATGATCCAATATGGGGGTGTTTGGATATAACCAAACCATGGTTTGGAGAATAGCTTCTGGAGAATAGATTCTGGGGAGAATAGATTTTTTGAAGAATAGATTTTGTGAAAAAGTGATTCTGAGAAGTGAAAGTGTTTGAACAGTTGTTACCAGAAGCACTTTTTACATGTACAAATTACTAAAAAAGGCATAAGTTAATATGATAATTACAGAAAAAATATATTTTATGATATATTTTAATTTGAAGGAATAAAATTGTTAATAATATATTTTTTATTAACATAATTAATAATACATAAGATAATATAATTAATAAATAATTAATATGTATATATATTTATAAGATATAAGATTAAATATATTTATGAAAAAATATGTTTATAAAAAAAACAACAAGATACATATCCTATAGGCTCTCACACTCTCCCTTTTTTTTTCCAAAAGCAAAAATTTTTTGTTTTTCCCAAAACCATAGTTTTGGTTTTTTTAAGGGTGTTTGGGTGATTTTTTCCCAAACCATGGTTTGGGTTATCACCCAAACACCCCCTTAGAAGGTAAAATCGATTCTTCATTGGGCTTGTTTGGGAGAGCTTAAGAAATCTCTTATAAGTACGTTTCATGTAAAACAAGACAGAATTCCTCTCATATACTTGTCTCGTATTCCTTAAATCACTATTAAAAAGCTATTTGTAAGCTACTTATAAACTGTTTTAAACGGATCTATTATATGCAAGATGTAGGCTTAAGTTCCTATAAAATAAAGCCCATCGAAGTTCGAGTAGTTTGGGCCTGGTGTGTGTACGTATCTCAACTCAAAAGGCACTTTCGTCCCGGGGCACAAGGGAGTTTCAGTTTCAGCCCATGGATAATTGTAAACCGTTGGGCAAGATTTAAACGGTGCCGCCGTCCTTAATATAGACTAATAATTTGAAAAGATTAGTAAAATTACTAAATCATCTAATTATAAGTTAGATACTTTTTTTCAAAATACTTCTTTTATATATCAATTTATGAGTGATGCAAATTAATTTTTTAAAAACTAATAAATATAAATAGTTTAAGATAATTTAGTAATTTTATTTTTTTTAAAATTAGTTAACTTGGTCTTATATTAAAAACTATATGTAGTAATGCCTTTGATCCAACATATATTGACCCACAACATATCCAATGTACAGCAAATTGAGAAACTAAGATCACCAACACAGTAAAACATCACAAAATCAGGTTTCAATTTAATTCTATACCGGCGTACTGAGACCAAACCCGCATGCTTCGTACTCATTTTTATGCCGTAAAATAGTGAAAACAAATTACGGTCAAAGAAGCTGATGAACATATCATTGACCCTTCAAATTCAACCTGCCAGTTTCTGAGAATTTCTAGTGTCGATATAGCTTTGTTGTTGCAGCATGATTGTGCACGGTCAGAGTATGCACGTGTGCACCTATATATATTTTCTGCCACGTCCCTTGTTCTCTCTGGTTTTTATTTTTATTTTCTATACAAATATTTCCCTTTCTTCTTCGGGGACAAAAAGAACGTTCATATAATAAATTGGAAAAATAACTGTTGAAATTTGAAATGACAAAATAGACATGTAAATAATTGAAATCACCAAATGAGCATGAGATATCAATATGGAATTTTGACAATTCGGTAGAAAGACTAAAATGTTCCTGACACATATTTGGAGCCAATTTCACAACTCTGGTAATGATAATGACAACATTTGTAATGTGAATTATAATTTTTATAATGAGAGTTATCATCTCGCTATTGCCATTTGCAACTCGTTTCTTTCAAACCAAATAACATGTATTTGGAACCAATTTCACTACCCTGGTAATGATAATGACAATATGTGTAATGCGAATTACAACTTTTGTAATGAGAGTTACCATCTCGCTATTGTCATTTGCAACTTGTTTATTTCAAACCCAAATAACATGTATTTGGAACCAATTTCACTACCCTGATAATGATACTGACAACATTTGTAATGTGAATTACAACTTTCATAATGAGAGTTACCATCTCGTTATTGCTATTTACAACTCGTTTTTTTCAAACTCAAGTAACATATATTTTGAGCCAATTTTACTATCCCGATAATGATAATGACAACATTTGTAATGTAAATTACAACTTTTGTGATGAGAGTTACCATCTCACTATTGTCATTTATAACTTGGTTCTTTCAAACCCAAGTAACATGTATTTGGAGCCAATTTCACTACTTTGGTAACGATAATAACAATATTTGTAATGTGAATTATAACTTTTGTATTGAGAGTTACCACTTGTTTATGTTTTCAGAAAGGTTCAGGGACATTTTAGTCTTTATATCAAATTATCAAAATTCCAGATTGATACCTCATGCTCATTTAGTGGTTTTAGTTATTTGCATGCTCATTTTGTCATTTCACATTTCAACAGTCATTTTTTTGTCATTTTCCCTAATAAATTGTTAATATAAGATAAACGATATGTCATTGCATATTTAGTGATTTTATTACTTAAGAGTGCGCAGCAAAACAGTTAGTAAACAAAGAATAAAAATAACATGAAGCATCAATTGAAAATCGAGATCCCTTGGTAGAGATATTCACCCTTTTTTTTCAACTGAAAGAGCTCAATTATTATTTATAAATAAAAATAAATATAGATTCCGCCGCTTGATTTTGGGTGAATCAACATGCAAGTCAATTTGAAAGCCAAAATGTTCCATGCATGTGCGTCTACAATTATTTTAATAATTCCCAGCGGCACTGCAATTAGAAAATACTACGGCCGGTCCTAATTATAAGAGTCAGTTAACTAATTTGAGGAGATTAAGGAAGTAAGTTGAGTTAGTTATTTGTCTTAAATATGTGTTGTTTTTTCTAAAATATTCTTACTAATCAGGTGTATTGACTAGAACTATTATTGTTAGAAAGGTTACTTTGAAAAAAAAATATAAATATGAGAAAAAAGTAGATTGGGGTCTTATATTTAGGACCAAAATAAAAGTCAAATAGGGTCTTATATTAAGAACAGGAGGTAATATGTACTCTAATTATTTTTTTTTTTGCCTGAATACTCTAATTCTCAATGTATATATTACTTAACTAATTTAAATAACTTAAGAAATTAGTTAAATCAATTAATTCTAACTCATATAAAATGACTTTTCTAATTAGATTATATATTAATTTTAAAGTTGGATAAATTAATTTTAAAAAAATGATAAATATAAAAATCAAAATAGATTAAAATCTTATATTTAGTATAAAAATCAATTCTCTCATTAGTTTTTATATCTAGAACCATAGTAGTATTATGAACCCAAAAAAAACTTTAAAAAAAAGGCATAAAAAGCATAGTAAATTAAGTTTCTGGTGACGGTAACGGAAGCACGCAAGGAATGAAATTCACGAACCAATGCGAGCGCGTGCGTGCCGCTGCCAGCCGCTGTTTCCAAAGCCCCATATTGATTAGATAGCACAGCGTCTAAACGCTGAGCGAATATAAAAGCACAACGAATGGACGTTCAAAAGCATACCTTTCTCAATTAAACAACCAAAAAGGTTGGGGGGTTTAGGGATGAAGGATCTGAGAAGTCAAAATGCTGCCTTTATGATGAAAATCTGCTGGTACATGTTAACTAAACCTGATAAACTCTGGGTTCAGTGTTTAAAAGCCAAATACAAATGTGGGACAAATGAGGTTCCAGAGATTGTACCCAAAAGCTGTGCGTCCCTTACTTGGAGATCAATAACACGAGTTTGGGATCAGTTTCTAAAGGGAGTAGGAAGGAAAGTGAACAATGGCCGAAACACACAATTTTGGCGAGACCTTTGGCACCCATTAGACCTCCCCCTTGCTGCCTATACCTGTCCCGGAACAGCCTTCAATGACCAAGACAAAGTTTGTGACCACCTTCTACCGAATGGAAGATGGAATGTAGATTCTTGGTACACAATCCTACCACCACAGGTAATCTCAACTCTTACCAAGATAACACCCCCAAACCTTCAAGTGCAAGATGGATTTACGTGGAGGAACGGTAAGGAAGGCTGCTTCTCTGTTAAAGCAGCTTACGAGTTCATACGTCAGAATGGCGATCCCTCACAAAACCACTTCTGGAAAAGACTTTGGAAATGGCAGCTACCGGAGAAGGTTAAAACTTTTATGTGGCAGATGTCTCATGACAGATTAGTTACCAATTCACTCAGAGCTAAAAGAGGTCTAGCTTCATCTCATGAGTGTCCTTTTGAGTGCCATCGTGAGGAGAGCGGTATACACACCTTGAGAGATTGCGACAGAGCGAAGGAAGTGTTGGAAATATTTTTTAAAACCTAACTCTTTTCCTAGTTTTTTTACTGGTTCTTTGCAGGGATGGTTGCAGTGGAACGTGACTCATAGCCCGGCCAACAAAAGATTCAAAAGCTGGTCTTGGCCTCGCGTGTTCAGCTTGGTATGTTGGTTGCTGTGGACATCCAGATGTCGAAAAGTTTTCGAAGGAAACACTTCATCACCCAAAGAGATTGTTCATAAATGCTTTCACCTACTGACAGAATGCGTCATCAACAATGAACTCAAACACCAAGTCTTTTGGGGAATAGAAGCACACGAAAGCCGATGGACACCACCACCAGAAAACTTAGTCCGTATAGACGTTGATGGATCAGTGTGGCCAGGACAACAAGCTGCTTGTGGAGGCGTCATTCGAAACTCCAGAGGTGAATGGCTGATAGGCTTCCACCAAGATATAAGCACATGCTCAGTACTGGAGGCAGAGCTACGGGCGCTTCACACTGGAATAACTCTTGGGAAGAATCTGAGGTTAGGAAACTTACTAATCTACACAGACTCACTTGAATCAGTTAACCTCCTTTGGAGAGGCAATACTACCGAGCATCCTCTTCGAGAACTCATAATAGAGTTAAGGGAGATGATTTATGAAGACCAGAATATTCAGGTTTTCCACACTCACCGGGAAAACACCAGATGTGCGGACTACATGGTAAGACAGGGCCACACAGGATGGACAGAAATGACTCTCTCTTGGGAGGTGCCTAACGGTTGCAAAGGAATATTCCTGGAAGACAAGATGTTAACATGATTGTTCTGTTGTTTGTTTGTGTAGCCTTTTAAGGCGTTATTTTCCTCAAGCTTCGGCTTGCCTTTACATGTTAAAAAAAAAAAAAAAGCATACCTTTCTCGGCCTTTTGGCTAAGATCAAGTGTAGTATCTGTTCTTATCAGTTTAATATCTGATATCTGATACGTGGGCCACAGGCCCACATGATATTAAATTTATTTTTCTAGGGGGAGGGTCCACCCAAGTAGCTTGCTATTGGGACTCTCAAGCTTCGGCCATGCGGTGCACTGCCGCACAGGCCTGGCGCGCCCCACCAAGCCCAACTATTAAACTTTTTAGGCCCAATTCTGAAGCTATGATTGGGCTTAAACATAAGCCCGCTACTCTCGGTGTAGGTCTCTCGTTTTGGTTTCTTTCGAGTCACCGGAGAGTGGAGACTGAATTCAAATTTCGGGGAGTGGACTGCAGAGCTGAATTTTCAGCATCTTTCACTTAATTGGAATAAACGGAATACGTTGCTTCCAGAAATTTTATTGCTTTTTTTTTTGTGTGTAGAAAATTAAATATTAGTCATCGGCCTTCAATATTTTATGGTGCTCAACGGGAGAAAATGCAAAATTATCGGTCAAAAAAATTGTTTTACAATTGCAATCATTGACTAAGGGAATCTTAAGAGTCATTACTATTAAATTCAATGTTCAATCACAATGAGAGCATCTATCAATTCAACAACCTAATTAACAACTCTCTTCAATTGAAATGTTACACGTCCTTTAAAAACGGGAAAAAACAAATACCAAATGTTTAATTTAAAAATAGATTAATATCGTCGTGAGAAATATCGTTTGAAGTTTCATTAAAAAAAAAAAAAGAAATATTGTTTGAAGAACATCATCATGTGTTTATCTTACTGAGTAAAGTGGACTTGATTAGGTATACATAGCTGTCCTCCATAAATTAGTTTATCTCTTAAGTAGCTTAAACACTCTGTAATTTCTGAATACAACAATCAAATATTGCATAGACAATGAGTCAGACAAAAGGTTAAAGATTTGCCAATTCCTTCATGCATCAGTTCTTCAGTTGGAGATTAAACTTAAAGAAATTGATTTATAATTTTAATTTAAAATAAAATTTTGGCATTTTGAAATATGAAGACATAAAGATTTTTATTATATTTATTGAAGTCCACTCAAATTATTTCATACATGGAATTGTTTGGTTGGGGGAAGTAAAGAGCACTCGGAACTTTTGGGCAAATAGTGAGATTAACATTGCTTGGTTTATTTTTATTTTTTTAAAAAAAGAACTCCGCAGAAGGTTATGATCCCAATTTTTCTAATTATAAAAAATTAACTTACTAACTAATATCTAAGGTTTTTTTTTTTTCAAACTGTTATTAGTTTCCAAACTTACCCTTACCGTATAAGCTATCATGTATTAGAAACTTCCCTAATATTTGTCTTCTAAACCAAAAAAATAATATATTCATTTGGAAAAGTAATTACTGGATAACTTTTTAAGAAATACAAAAGCAACCAAAAAATTTTTAACTTTTGAAAATTTTAAGTTTGCGTAACTAAACTAAGCGAGGCCTAAATGTTTGGTTTATAATTGTTGAACGAATTGTCACATGTGTAACTTTCAAAACGTAAAATATATATATAAAAGATAAAAAAATTTGTCAGACTATATATATATATAGACAAATAATTAAACGCTTGGTTTTTTTGTTTTTTTGTTGGCAAAAAAAAAGGTGCGACTAGTTTGGAACAAATCGAGATTGATTAACGTCTTAGGAGATTTGTTAACATCACGAGAGATTATTTCTATGAATAACAAGCTAATTGACCACCATGGTTTGCTCTAAGCATTTTCAGCATACTTCATACAAATAAAAAAAAGAATTTAAACTGTATTAACTCTCTATTAAAATATAACAACTTTTAAACTTTATTCTTATTTAATATATACACTTTTCGGGAAAAAAACTTCCTACATTATATTAAATGAAGGATAAAATAATATATTCATGTTAAAAATTTAATGAAATGATTTATAAATAGATAAAAAAATCTTCTCTCTATCTTATAAATAGAACAAAAAAAGTACCACTTCTGGTTTTAATTATAAGATCTCATTTATAGTCTACAAATGAGGTTTTATAATTAGGACATGAGGTAGTATATTACATTTAACTAATCCCTACCATTTTTATGCACTGTAATTTATCGACTGTCATCTTTAATTAGTGGCTTCAAATTTATATTCATTTAAGTATATAAAATACAAGTTTCAGTGTCGATATACTTCAATTAAGATAGGGTTATGGTGCATTTAATATTCTAAAGTATTTTCTCAAGTGCATCCAGTATTTCAAAATATTTTATAGTGTATCTAAGGCTTGAAGTATTTTCTAGATGCGTCAAGCATCCTGAAATATTTTTTTTGCCTTAGTACTCGATGCACCAAAAAATAGTCTTGGGTGCTGGACACACCTAAAAAAATATTTTGAGATGTTGGATGTACTAAAAAATACTTTACGGTACTGAATACACCTAAAAATATATTTTAGAGTGTTGGGTGTATTACAAAATATTTTATGATGTGGCATGCATCCAAGAAAATATTTTGATATGTTCGATGTATCTTAGCCCATCAAATAATTGTTCCACGGAAAACTTAATTCTGAAGTTTGAATTTTTTCAACAGCACCCATGAAACTCTGTAAAATCAAGTAATTTCTGCTTATAATGGGAAAAATTTCTGTCGGCAAGGTGTTTAGGGCAAAGCAGCTCTATAAGTTGTATTTTTTTTTTAATTTTTCCTGTATTTATTTATGAGAAAAAAAACTAAAATACACTAAAAAATGTTATAAAAAAAATTAGGTTATTTGAATTTCAAAATTTTAAATCAAGTCCCTTGTACTATTTTAGAATTTTAAAATATTATAAAATAATAACACTGTCCTTATCATCGATGACTACTTTTATATAGTTATTGACTACTCTAATTTAACTATTGACTATTTTTATTTTCAAAGTTTCAGTGACTACTTTTATATAACTATTAATTACACAAGATTAGTAAATAACCAAACAAAAAGTAGTCACTAGATCTCCAACAACACTTAATATATTTTTAAAATTTTTAAAACAAAAACAGTTAATAGCGAAATTAGAGTAGTCAATAGCTAAACAAAAATAATCACTCAAATTTTTGAAATGGAAGTAGTTAATCACAATACTGGAGTAATTAATAACTAAACAAGAGTAGTTATTGAAGTTCTAAAAACAAATGTAGTTAATAGCTAAAAAAATAGTCAATATATAAGAAAGGGCAGTTACCAGAGTTCCGGGAACATGTTGTCGAAGCTCCGGCAGCTGGCCACCGACAGGATTGCTGGTGTTGGAGCTTCAACGGTCGAAAGTGCTGAGGTAGCAATTTTTTTGGGAAAAAAAAAGTAAAAAGCATTTATGTAATTTTACAATATTAAAAAAATTTGAAAATGGTATAAAGGGTCTGAATTAAAATTTTGAAATTTATCCACACTGATTTGTCTTTTAACATTTTCTAGAGTATTTTATTATTATTTTTTTCCATTATTTATTCCTTTTAAATGAGAAGAAAAGAAAATACGTCGCATGTTTGTTAGGGGTCGAATAACGCCTACGCGCTCAAAGGGTCGGCGATAATCATTAGAATTTTAAAACTCGTTTTGCAAATAAAATAAACTGATAAAAAGTATTTGGACTTTTCTTAATTTTGGCAGTTGAGCACTGCAATTATACATACGTACATCTATGAACAAATTATATTTCTTCGCAGCCACACCATAATTTCTAGAATCACATTATTTTTTTTAATAAAAAGAAAACTTAAAAAAGCTGAAAAATTCATGAGAGTGATGCTCAATTTCTTTATAATACTTTATACAAATAAAGTGAACCTCATGTATTTAATATTTAGAGCTCAAAATAAGTTACGTGGATCTATAAGACAGTGTGCCAATTTTTTTAAGGACAACTTTCCATAATTTTTGTTTCATGTGTTAATTAATAATTAATTACATATGAAAATGTATTTTATTTTAGTAAGTAAAACGTCACACTTATTAGGTACTACAAATCAAAGCCAAAAGCATATGAAAATATCAAATACAAATTATTATGAAAAATGCATTTGAGCTGCCATGCATTTTTTTAATTTTCTTAAAAAACTACATATTACCAGGAACACGTCAAAATTTCTTCCCAGAAAATTATTTTTCTTAAAAGGAATAGTTTTCAAATAAACTCCGATATTCCGCAATACCCAAAAAAATAAGGCTGAACAAATGTTCTGGTTTTTAGATGTTGTTAATTGTTATTAAAGTGTAATGAATAAGGCTAATTTAAAATTTAAAAGTTTAAAAATATTTTTTGAGATTCTTCCAAGTAAGTATATATGTAAATATTGGTTGTACAAAAAGGAAAAAGTGCATGAAAAATAAGATAATTTCTCATGTAATTATATTTAATTATTTTCAATTTTTATTATCATTTTTAATAAATATGTGAAAAATATTGAAAGTTGCATGAATAATGTACATTCAATGCATTAGGAGAGCTATCTTCTAAGGTCCCTTTGGGCACATCTTATCAAGTTGGAATGACACAGTTATCTTCTAATGGGAGTCAATAATGCTCAAATTTGACTCACATAATTATATAAAAAATGTGGATTCAATTAATTGACAAAAAAAATGACTATGCATAGAATAAGTGGAATAAATTATAGGTGGGAAAGAAGAAATGGAACAATAATAGAGATAGGTGGTTCAAACGATCCTGATATAAAAAAACAATTATGAGAAATTAAAGAATAAGTGAATAACTTCATTTTTCTTCTTAAAAAGTATACTGATTGTAAAATAATAAAGTAACAGTAAATGTCGTGTATTTCTGTAATTAATTTTTGTTTTTTGCCAGCCTACAATTATTAGTTTATTTAAGACATGTAGTGATTCAGATATATAATTCATACATTGACGAAATGGAAGATAATGGGTCATATTTCCAGGTCAATGTCATGCACACGTCAGATGGATGGACCGATAATTCATCTCCGGTCATTTAATTACTCTTTCGATTCTTAATATAAAATCTAATTAAATTAATTTTGATCATAAATATAAGATTTATTTTTTATATTTATTATTTTTTTAAATTATCCTTCTAAATACTCCGGGGTGTGTGCATTAATTGAACAGGGACAATTGACATTTTAAAAAATAAATTATATTTTGTTTGAGATATTCAAATGAACACCGCTTTACTTTTAATTTTTCTTTAAGTTTACACTTTAATATTTTTCACAGCAAAAAGTTACTTTAATTATATTTATTTTTATATAAATATTCTTACATGTCATTTTTATATTATAATAAAGATTATTAAATATTACCTTTAATTGTAAATATAAGATTTTGTAATATAATTCGCATTACAACTAACATATATACAATGCAATTTTTCTAGGCCAAGCGTAAACTTAAGTCTGCAATCTTGCCAAGTTTTTGAGTGATGAACAACATAATTTATTTTAAAAAATTATATATTTTTCACAAGACGTTAATATTGCTTGCATTTTCAACTTGAAACACTAACTACATCTCACTTAGCCCATGTCATGTGAGTTTGTTTGATATTATTACTGCTACTACTAATAAGTAATACTAATAACGGTATCGTAATCGTGAATCAAATTTTTATGCACACAAGTAAAAAAAAAATTTATAATATATTGTTTAGATAGCAGGATATATCTATCGAGAGAGAAAAACATATAATTTTAGTTTGGTTCTTTCGTATTTTATGCCTCTAAATATTTATTTTTTTGTCCAAGCTCTAAATATTGATTTATGTTGTAAAATATCAAATACATTAATTACCTTATAAGAAATGATCATACGAGACGTTGACTTTATATTATTAGCAATAAAATCTTTTGAAAAGTGTATATATCTTTTATTCCCTCTAGTCCTAATTATAAGAACTAGTTGACTAATCTGAGAAAATTAAAAAAATAAGTTAAGTTAGTTATTTGTAATAAATAAGTGTTATCTTTTCTAAAATATTCTTATTAATCTAGTGTGTTGGTTAAAACTACAATTATTAGAAGGATTATCATGGAAAAAATTGCATAAATATGAGAGATAAAATGGATTAGGATTTTATATTTATGACCAAAATAAAAATCAAACGAAGTTTTATACTCCCTCCGTTTCTTATTATAAGAGACATTTGATGCTTATGGCATGTTCCTATATATAAGAGACACTTACAAGTTGTTTCTACTTTTTTATGTTGATTGACTATTTTACCCATATTTATTATCTCCAACTCACACTCTCTCTCCCTCCCACTTCTCTTTCTTTTAATAATTTAATTTTTTTCTCTCATGCTCTCTCTCCTTATTAATGAGGGCATTTTTGGAAAAAATTATACTTTTTACACATTAATTGTTTTTAACTAATTTTAACTGTTTTTTGATCAACGTATTTCGGTTATTGTCTCTTATAATAAAGAACGGAGGGAGTATCAAGTAGCGGAGGTAGTATAATGACAACAATAAAATAATCGCCGCCGGGAAACTTTATTGCCAAATGCAGAATCACTTCACCGTGACTCATTGACGGCTGCTCTACATACATACATATATTTTATGTCTATATATATATATATTATATGTATGTGTGAGTGTGTATATTTATATACATATATTTATATGTGTGTGTATTTTGCAAATTAATTAACATAATGATTTTTTGTGCATATATTGAGCGTGTATTAATTGACCTGTTTAGTCTCAAAGTTCAACAATGATATCATCCAGGATCTTGTTACTTGCTTATAGATAGTTAATCTTAAAAAATTATTTAATTTTTAGAAAAATAATTCCCTCTTATTCCCTTTTTTTTTTTTGCTTGCGAACTCCCTCTTATTCTTTCTCTATATTTTATTAAACTTGTTAATAATTTTAATTGTTTTTCAAAATCACCCTCAATCCCCCACAACTAATTAGTCCCTTTCAGTGAAAAAAATTAATGCGTCGGAAAATTTACAAAGGACCTTATGGTAACAACAATCATGAAAACCTTCTAAACAAACCCTATAATAAAAGAGCAGATGGGAGTAATATTTAATGAAAACATATAAACCCAATTAATCTAAAACAAAACCAAGATAATTAATTAATTGTATGTATCAATTTTGCATATATAGCAGACATGCGTCCCACATTTCTTGATAAAACTTTTTTTTTTGGGGGAATATTTCATAATACAATTTTAATTACTGGGTAACAATTTCAGTCCCCTGATTTGCTACCTAACATTGACTTAATATTAAGATCTGAACTTTCAAAGCTCAAAATTGGCAGGCACGTACATTTAGCATAAGGTCAATGATTTTTGTTGGTTAGGTTCTTGAATTATTAATCCTCAAATCTTGATACCAAATCTTTTTATATTTTGAACCTATGTGACTTCATGCATGCGTGTGAAGTAATCAGAAGACGATCGAAGGAAGAATATAAAGCGATATTAGTTTATGTTGTTTTTTTATATAAACAATCTGTGATTAGTATTAACAATTAATTTATTAATAATTAACATGTCTAACTATTTTGTCTGGGACCAAAGGGGTGGTTGCATAATTATTAACTTCTTGACATCATTTTATATATATATCCATTAAAAAAAATAATAGTAGCTTCATTTTTAAAACTCTATTAGGTTCACACGTATTCCTTGAGAAGCAAGAGACAATATATAAGATACAAAGTCACCCTACTAATCCCGCCTCTTCATGCACCCCACCTAAACTATAAAAGAATTAGAAAAATAATCTTATTGTTGAAATGTCTTGCTCTTCTCTACCAAACTAATCGTTTTAATATGTTCTTATATTTCAATTTATGAATCAGTAAGGATTTACAATCACATTCTCTGCCGACAGACTCCTTTGCTCTTAGTTTCATACTACTTTCGTGTGTGTTTCCCAGAAGTTCACACTTTGGTTGGCCAAAGCTGAACTTTTTTTAAAAAAAAATTTTTTTTTAACCAATTAATATAACTGAGAATGCCACTAAATTATATGGCCAAAAAAGATGGTCCCAATGGAAACTTTAATGTTGTTGATATCAGATATTATGGTTCACGCTAGCTTGTTTGCTCATCAAGAAAAAAATCCATTTGATGCAGAAGTTGAGTCTGCAAGTAAAATTTGACTTGAACCATGTGACACTAAATATGGGAGTGTAATGATTGATCTAAAGCTGTTTTAACGAAAGCTTTTTAGTTGGTTTATAGCTTTCAATGGTGGAACCTATGGCCGACACAGAGTGCAAAAAATAACCAAATATTAATCATTGAAATGGATGCTTCTCTCTCAACAGTGTCAGCCTAAATCTCCTTTTCATTCTTTTATCTTATCAATTTTAGAATAAAACAGAACAAAGAATAGAAGAAGAAAAAGAAATAAGATATTGATTAAAGGGCTAACAACTACGTGGGGAGCAACAGTTTATAGATATGGCATGTCAGGGACCTCCAATTGTCAAGTACAAGTATCTCAGAACATTGCTTTATCCTCTCTACTCAGAACAACCTCAAGGGTAGAGTATATGCCAAAACTTCATATCTGAAGAATGGCATTGCAGTTGTGAGAATATATATATATACGAAGATGATGTACGATTCAATATTTTCCAGAAGCTTTAACAAGCACGAGCAGAGAAGACTTAAATATGGAGCCTTTGTGAGCTGCTTTCTGCTTTTTCTAAGTCTCTGCACAGTGTTCAAGCCTTACTTGGGTCCTATTCAAGCTTGTGAGTCCTCAGCTCTCTCTCTCTCTCTCTATTGAGACTCTACAAACATGCATGGAGGGATGTCTCCTTCATTGTGCCATGAAATTCTGAAATGTCTTTTGGTTTTGCAGTGAATCTGAGGCTGTCAGTGGGTGATGGAGTCAAAATGAGAATGGTCAGCGACACCCCTAGCTCTCCAAAAATAGCAAAAGGTAATCTTTTTCTGAACGTAAATAAGATCAATCCACTGAGAGCTTGCTCAAGTTTCATGCATGGAGTATTGAAGGTTCTTGACTCTGACACTGACAGAACTAATGTGTGATTATTTTTTATGCAGCAGTTGAAAACATAGTAGCAAATATTATTGTAAATGACTCCAGAAGCTCTTCACAAGTGGAAGAAGGTAAGATTTTCTCAATCTTACAAATGGTTAGGAGGATAATAGGGGCTAAATAATTTAACACTAGGAATTTCTTTTTGGCTGCAGTTGAAGCCATTGAACCTAAGATCCTTGTCAATGACACTAGCAGCTCTTCACCAGTGAATGAAGGTAAATTTTTCTAAATCTCAATGAGGCTAAAAGTATGAGAGCTAGCAAATTAAAAATCCAAATATTCCTTTTTTGCAGACAAAGACATTATAATAAAAGTTCCTGTCAATGACACCAGCAACTTCCCGCGAGTAGCTGAAGGATCTGAAGGTAAGATATGCTCAATCTTAACAAGGTTAAATCCAGTAGAACTATTCCTGTTTTGGATGGTCAGACATGAAATTGACAGCAATGTCTTCGCCTTGTAGCTGAAGAAGACAAGTCGACTAAGATTCCTGTCAATGACACTGGCAACTCTCATATACAAACAGATCCAGGTAACTTATGCTTATTCTGATAACCTCAATAAAGCTAGATGAGATCAGCTTCATTCTGAATAGTAAAAGATAACACATGGTGTTTTGAGACTAATGGTTCACAAAAAAACTTTTTCTTTTTTTTTTTGGGTACACAGTAACAAAGAAAGAGGAGTCAGAGCTAGTATGTACTTCGGAAGTGAGAACAGATTTCTGTGAGAGCCGGGGTGACATTAGAGTCCAGGGAAGTTCCTCCACTGTCTATGTTGTGTCACCAGAAACAAGCACCTTGTCAGAAAACATGTCAAAGATCGTAAAACCTTATGCAAGAAAGGGTGATGCATTTGCATTGACCATGGTGAGAGAATGGTCAGTGAAACCATTAAAGGGTAGCAAGCAAGTCCTTCAGTGCTCTCAAAATCACTCTGTTCCAGCAATCCTGTTCTCCACTGGAGGTTATGCAGGAAATCACTTTCATGACTTCACAGACATTCTCATTCCCATATTTCTGACTTCAAGGAAATATAATGGAGAAGTACAGTTTCTTGTAACTAATTACAGAGCTTGGTGGCTTTCCAAGTACCAAGTACCTCTGAAGAAGTTGTCAAACTATGAGTTCATTGACATCAACAAGGATGACCAAGTTCATTGCTTTCCAAGTGTGACTGTTGGTCTCAAACGGTACGAGAAGGAACTGCGCTTTGACCCTTTAAAGCACTCTTATTCCATGAAAAATTTCAGGGATTTCTTGAGAAGTTCCTATTCCTTGAAGAGAGACAAAGCTGTCATCTTAAGAGATGGTCAAAACAGAAAGCCCAGGCTTCTGATCATAACAAGAAAAAGGACAAGATCTTTCACTAACCTAGACCAGATAGCCAAAATGGCAAAGAGGCTGGGTTTTGAGGTTATCACCATGGAAGGAGGTGGCAACTTGTCAAAATTTGCAGAGATTGTGAATTCCTGTGATGTTGTAATGGGAGTTCATGGGGCTGGCCTTACCAACATAGTTTTTCTTCCAGAAAATGCTGTTTTTATCCAAATAGTACCATATGGTGGGGTGGACTGGCTTGCAAAACAAGACTTTGGATTGCCCTCAAAGGAAATGAACCTAAAGTACTTGGAATACAACATAAAGGTGGAAGAAAGCACACTGATTCAACAATACCCACCTGACCATGCGGTTCTAAAAGATCCTTCATCAATTAAAGGATGGGCTGCATTTAGGTCTGTGTATTTGGAGAAGCAAAATGTGAAGCTTGATGTTGATAGGTTTAGGCCAACTTTGCAGAAAGCCCTTGAGCTTTTGCATGAGTAAGTTGGGTCGTTCGTGATCATTATTTTCCGTTTGTTTTTTCGACATCTTAGTGTACATAATAAAGGACAGAGAAACATAATATACTTATATACACGAAAGGAGAAAAGAAGTTCATCCACATGAAGACATTTTGCAGTAAGCTTGAGCAATGATGTTGATTGTTGCTGTAGTCTTTTGTTATTTCCCTTCATTAAGTTGCCTTTTTTGTGGCAAAATGATTTTTGTTGCAATGGAGCAAATTAAATTATTGATTTTAGTTTGTTATTGGAGATTTTATTCAATGTGGAAAAAGCTCAAGTTGCTAAGCATATTACAAGGCCCTGGCGTACGTTAATGGAAATGAAGTCGTGGATTTTCTGCTTTAAAATTGACACAATTATTATATGACATCGTCTCTTAATTTAAGGATACAACAACTATTTTCACTAAAAAAAGGACTAACAACTATTAAATAAAACAATTGTTGAATAAGATGACCAGCTCAAATTTTTCTACTTGTGACCATAAAAATCTACAAGATGCCTTAGTTAAATTTAACGAAGTAAAATAGACAACAAATTTGAGAGGAAAGTTTAAATTTCAATTCTTTCTTCTTTTTTTTGGATTTCTCCATCCGGTATCCCAGGGCAATAGGCATCTTTCAGCCGTGACAGCGGCCCAGACTAATCCGGATCAAAGGCTTGCAAGGAACCTTTCGGTCGGCGCCCTCTGGCTCCAAGGGTGCTGCATTCCCACGGCTCGAACTCGAGACCCGTGGTTAAGCTAGGACAGTCCCAGCCAGCTAACCTAACCCCTTAAAAGCTATGTTTGTTACCAATGTTAGCCTTTAGAAAAAAAAACATCAATGAGTACGGGAAAAAATAAAAGAAGTTAAAAAAAAAATCTTGAAATGGGGAAACAGTGTTGGAAGTTCAGAATTTTGCGGAGAATGGCTTTAAACCTTAATTGAATTATAAGGTATTAAGCCTTGTATAGGGAACATATTTTGGGAAAATTAATTTATAGATTCTCGTAGTTTCACGAAAATTTTAATCAAATTGCCGAATTTTTTAAATATATGCTGCATTGAAATTGTATATGTTTGTCAATTTTTAAATAGAGATGCGTAATTTAAAAATTACTGAATGCTAGACTATTACAGAGAACGATAGATCATTTTTATTTTTATTTTTCTTTAGAAGAACCCTTGTTTTACATGATCCTTGTCAAGGCAGTGCTTCCAACTTAAACATAAACCATGATTTCATAGTTTAATCACATGATTAAATATTTTGCAGAAAAAATTTACATACTACATATTTATTGAATTAAGTGGTAACAGACGGTTCCAAAAAAATAAACGTAAATAGTCATTTAAAAATTGAAAGAGAATAGGTCAGCAGAAGGGAAAAGTACAGTGAGATCCCAAGAGAAGAAAATAATTATTAATAAGTCCCAATAACAATGAATAGCTGTTGTTTATTACCTTATACTTCATAGCAGTTCTCCTAAGAAAATATATTCTGGATTCTTAAATGTTATTCCACTCAATCAGGTCAACAGCACCCAGATCCAGCGAGCCTTATTCATTTTATGGGCTTCAAAGAATACCTTTCGTTTCGTCTTATCTGTTGGCCGAAATTGTTCATCATATCAAACTCCTTCCAAAGTCTAGCTTACAATCCCAGCGTCGTGCAAGGGCATTCATTACCCTTTCTAAGTCCTAACATAATATATTATTTTACTCACTGATATACATCTTCCAATACATAAATTATATTAATTAATACATGATTAGCAGCAGGCGCGGTACACAAGGCTTACACAATATGTTCCCACGCATCAACGAAATGCCAAGGTACTATGGAGTATGGACTGTAATTTTTTTGCCCGGAATGGACCAGGGCAAATGGATGCCCTTGAAAAGCACATCTGCCCACAACACAATAGAATAAAAATAATATGAATCCGGATCCTTTATATAAATTAATGTATATGATACATCTAGAAAGAGTGAGAAAAGAACTGATAGTGTTAATATATGATGTGAACTTCACGAATAACTACATTCTTTTGTTTCCCTTTTTCCCCCCGAAACATGTAAAGGATCTGACCTAAACAAGGCATCATTGGTACCTCCGTATAATTGCTGCTTACTCCCCTTTCTAGCAAGAAATTATGCTCAAGTACAGAAGACACCTCAAGCAGCAGTTGTTCAACCAGTGAATCTCCGGGCCCACGTCAGGCCTAGACAATTCTATAAATATGCCATTTTAAGTGCCTAAAAATCCAGGAAGACTGGATACAATCACCCTTTACAAAAACAAGGGCTAAGGCAGTAGCTGTCAGAATAAAGTTCCTCAATAGCTCTGTACACTCTGTTTGACGTCAACTGGAAACAGCTCCGTTTCATCCAGTGTACCATAGGCTTCACCACAGACCAGGTCTTCCTCAGTGAATTACTGTGCTATACTTGTTATCTAATCAAGAGCTTGATCTTTTCAAGTGAAGGTACATCATCTTCTTTTAGCACCATTCAGTGAAATTTTGCTTCTTTTCTTGCTCTTTTTGAAAGGCAAAGACATATGGTCAACGTCATCATCATTTGGATGTGTATCACCGTTTAACCATTGAAGAGCCTCAGCAGCAGCATCCCTTTCTGCTTGTTTCTTGCTGTTGCAAGGGAGGCCAGCAAAATTCAAGCCATTGAATATAACGGTAGAGCGGAATTGGTTGTTCTCCAGTTGTTTTGTTTTGTAAGTTGGTGGTTCATGTCCAGCCCGGACAAGCAAAGTTTGCAACTGGCCTTTACAATCACCTCTCTCAACAGAACTACTTCTGGAGTCTTTTGCCTTATTTGATGGTTTATGTCGAGCCCTGCCAAGCAAAGATTCCATCTGGTCAATATCATCACTAGATGAACGTGTATCCCCCATTAACCACAGAAGAGCCTCAGAAGCAGCGTTCTGTTCAGCTTGCTTCTTGCTGTTGCAAGGCTGGCCAACAAAATTCAAGCCATTGAATATGACAGTAGAGCGGAACTGGTTGTTTTTCAGTTGTTTTGTTTTGTAAGTTGGCGGTTCATGTCTAGCCTTGGCAAGCAATGTTTGCAGCTGGTTTTTATAATTACTGCTCTCAATAGAAACATTTCCAGAGTCTTTCGCCTTCTTTGATGGTGATAGCACTTGACGACCGAAGACAAATTTGCCACCACACTGATCCTCCGATACCAGCAATCTGACAGCTGAAAGAAGCTCATCAGATGGTTGTATATCCAACTTGGGATCCAGAAGCTGCAAAATAATACAGTGCATGACAGAGTAACTATGTCAGGGAATTGCAGAGATGAGAATTCCAAAAAAATGATACCCCAAGTCTCGGAATATTAAAATCAAGGGATATGACATTTGCATAAACTTACTTTTCTATGTATTAATTCCTCCAGCTCCTTCTTCAGGCTCAAGTAAGTCTCAGCTAATGTAGGATTCATGAAAAACTCCAAATAACCCCCCAGCATTTTCAGGTGACCGTCCTATTATAGGTTCCATATTACACCACAGTATGTAAAAAGGAAAACACTTGCAACTCTACAATCATGAAGATGAAAACTGATCATAGGAAAAATGAACGAAAGTTAAGAAACTCACCAGTCCACCTCTGTAAACACTCCCACCAAATAACAGAAGCATTGAATCAGATATACCAGTTGAATCCCGGAGGAATACTGAATTCACCTTCACCTTTTCATTGAATACCAGCCACGGGAATGGAATTTTGGGTACAGCAGCATTTACAGAATTCTGCGTGTGCATGATGCAGCAACGAGCCATAATAAATAGTCAGAAGTACGCTTCGGAATTTGGATAGCTTACACCTCTCCAATTAAAACTGGATCATGAGGATTCAAGGATTGATAAATCAATATCAGGAAGAGAAACTTACAGCATACAGGAGAACTTGACCATCCTCCATTGTTTTCAATGCTATTGACTTTTCTTTGTTCTGTAAAATACAACTTACACAGACTTACTCCGCAGCAATCACTTAAAATAATTGTAATTAAATTACAAACAAACATTACAGAAACAACAAACTAGTCAACACACATTCTCAGAAACATAATTCTTCAATTCTTCATCATCTATAAAGAATATGAACTTAGTGTCCCACTTAAAAATTTTGCACAAGTTGAAAGAAAGATTTAAGTTCTTAACGTTGATATCACCAATAACAATCAGCTTTAAATGCAATATATTCTTTATGGTGAAGAAGACAAGTTTGTATAATGTTAATTTGTTGCTTTCAATAAAAAGAAATATGAACATAAGCAGCATGAGAAAAACAATTTAAGTGACAAGCAACGGCATGCATAGCAAAAGCTTCAGAAAAATGGAAGAGAAGTAGAGTGGATTACCACAACAGAGCATACTCCAGGAAACAAACCAGCTGAAATGACCGCCCGGACCAGATGCTCATCATGACTCCATGCATTGCAATTGTCAGTACTATGACCAACCAAACCTAAGTCTTTGAGCAGGTAAAAAAATTGCTTCCGAAGAGAGTCAATGGCTCTAAGTGTTTGTGAAGAAAGGAAATTTCTCCAACAGTACTCATAACCTGCTTTCTGTGTTTCTGCGTCACTCCAACCCTCATAAGCTCGAACAAGTGCAATATGATCACTATAGGCACCAGCAGCAAACTGGGCCTTGGCAGACTCCGCAAGCTGCGTAAGAGGTGAACAGCAAACATTCAAATATGAATTTATGTTCTTCTCGATCTAACAGAAAAAAGTAAGAATTCTATCTCGTTAATAATCTAAGATATGATTCAAGTCCCCACGTTTCATTCACCAATACAGTTCAAATATCAAAAGTCATCATCAGAATCGAGCTAAAAAGCAGCTATACAGTCAGATTTGGCAGTTATAGTTATGAAAGCAAATAATGACCACAATAAGGATCTTGATGTGACAACAAATACCAAAAAACAATATTTCTAAATAAAAAAAATAAAGTCTTGGTATAGGTGAGCAGATAGTTATTCTACAATTCGTGACTTCACACCACTTATTTTGATAGAACTCCACGTCCCATCCTAGTTTACTCTAGGAAAAAACGTTCAGTTTCAGGGTAGTTTTATGAAGTTCCAATCTTATCTTAAGTTTGAAAACAGTTATTTTCAGTTATCATGTTGTTAGTTATTTCCTTTTTATTTTTTGGCCAACATTATTTCAATTTAGTATTTAAACCTATCATCTAGAAGAACCTGTCTTGGTCCAGTGACAAACACTAAAAGCAAGATTAGTTCTAGAACGGAAAACTTGTCTTGGAAAGTGAGAGTATGTAGTTATTCAATAATTTGAAACTTCCCGTACTAAAATTCTTTTAGATAACCACACAGGGCATTTCTAGCTCAAATTATCTTTCTGATAAAAAAAGTAACAACTATTTTTTATAAGAAGCAAATATCATTATTAAAACAAAAATATTAGAAATGTTTTGTTAAAGACCCTAGTAGAAACCTCCAAAGGACTAAATGACTGAAGCAACATGAGACATCATTACAAAGGACATTTTTTAACCAAAAAGTTCACATGAAACTGGTCTTAGACATAATCTTTTGCGATCAAAGTAAGCTTGATGATCCCATGCCTCTTCCCTTTCCTCTGACCTTCATCCCCAGTTTCCATGTGTCGAGGACCTCATTTGTAGGAATATATACATGTGTGTGCTGTGAGGGAGAAGTGCCACAGTTCGTATTACTATAACCAACTAATTCATCTTGAATAGCCACTCTTATTAATGCCATTCCATAGCAAATGCAATATATTAAGGCCCTGTGTTCATTTTTGTTGAAGAGTGATGCACTATAGCCCTAATTCTAATGGCTTTGCGGCCAAAACCAAGGGCTCTCTATGTGTGTGGCGCCCCTCTGCAGATGGTGATGATTTTGTTTTTAAATGGGATAATTAATCCACAGCTCCTTATAGTTTCAACTAATTTTGAATCAGGTCCTTATAGTTTTTTTTCTTTTTATCAGGTCCTTATACTTTCACCTGTTTTTAATTAGGTCCTTGTATTTATTTTTCTTTTTATCAAGTCCTTATAAGTTCACCTTATTTTTAATTAAGTCCCTGAATTTTTTATTCTTTATTTTATAAATTCTAATAGTACTATTATATAAACATAAAATAGTATATATTATTTAATATTAGTTTATAAACAATAATATTCTAAAGATATTGAATTATTATAATGATTTTAATTTTTTCAGTAAAAAAATTAATTGTTCTAAAAAAATTTCCTGAATTAATTAATTCTATTACTTTTTATTACATAATTATTAATTTAATTTAATTATTAATATTTTATATTTCAGTATTAATCTATTTAATTAAGCTTATATTTAATTAATAAATAAAAATTAAAACTACATGGACCTGATTAAAAATTTAGTGAAATTATAAGGACTTAATTAAAAGAAAAATAAATACAAAGACCTAATTAAAAAAAGGTAAAAGTATAAGGACTTGATAAAAAGAAAAAAAACTATAAGGACCTGATTTAAAATTCGTTGAAACTATAAAAACTTGCAGATTAATTAACCCTTTTTAAATTACATCTCCGTTTTATTCTGTTTTTATCTAAAATATTATAGGACAGAATCAGTCTATCTTATCCGAAATAATTTAGGTTTGCCCTAGATTATCTAGCTAAAGGAGGGAGGCTTGTTGCCTTCCCTATATATGTTGCTGTCTAATGAGAATAAAACATATTGCACTGAATAGATTTTTAGTTCAGGCGAATTCTTCGATTTTAAAACTAAAAATGTCCACTGAAAGCAATGACCAGAGACAAGGGGGTGGAAGGAAAATGATAGACATGATCATAGAAGTAACTTACATCTTTCTTGTCAAATGGCATCAAAAATGGATCTCTTACACTAAGACCAGCAGCAACAGTCATTATGGGGTCTAAACAGTTGAAGATAGCTCCCAAGATAAGCATCTTTCCAAGCTTAGGCTCTACAGGGAGCATTGACAAGTTACGACCTGCAAAGGAATAACCCAATAAGTAACTTATCTCTAATAGGAAAAAGGAAAAAAGTTAGGATGAACCAAAGAAAAGAGAAAATGAAATTAACTTGGACTAATGTACAAATTTTACCTAAAACTGTCAGATTCTCATCTTCGTCCAAGGCCCCAATAATCTTCAAATATTCAACCGCATTTTGAACCTGCAAAATACAAGTAATAGGCAAAATAATAGATTGAATCAAATGCATTAATTATAGAGGTATGATAATATATCATAAATAGTACCATATAGAAATAGAATTGATTATTAATTAAGTCACTTCACAAACATCTCATTTCAGTGAAACTTCCGGAATAATCGGGAAATGATTTTTACCGACAGAGGCTCTGGTGGCTGCAGAGCTCTGGATAGGAATTCTGAAATACTTCCAAGGTTTAGACTTTTGATTTGAAGACACAAGGACTGTAAGGGTGTTCTTAAAAGCTCCGGCAATTGATAATCAGCAAAAGTATCATAAACACATCTAGGATAAAGATGGTAACATTCGCCGGGTTGAACACGACCTGCCCTTCCTCTTCTCTGCAAAAGGCAGTAAAAGCTGTAAATATGGCCGTACAGACCAAAAACTGCATAAAAAAATTGCATGCTGCAACACAATACTATTGATGGGAAATCTGAAGAGATATATTTTATGTTTTTAGCAATTTATTTTTTGTTTTGTTCCTTTATTAGGCTTATTTTTTGTTTTGTTCCTTTATTAGGCTCTCTGTTATCTGAAGTTGTTTCCTTCATTATGCTTTCTTTTAATTTAAGTTAGCGCTTTGGGCTTCAAATAAACAGCCCTAGGTTATTCTCCTTTGTTAGACTTCAATGAATTGCTATTGAGACTACTAGTATGCTATCAACGATCTCTTCTACTCTTCCTCCCTCCTTCCCCATCCCCTTTTTTTCCCTGTCCTTCATCAACTAGGTTAAGAAGCTGAGAAACACAAGTCAACCAATTACAAAAACGATTTTTCTCATCTATGTTGCATAGTTAACTGTGAATAAACACTCATAGTCCAGTCTCAGACCAGTCAAAAGCTTTAGTTATGAGCATCTGTTTCCAAATTCTATATTCAATAAGATGTGACGAAATATCTTGAAAAACCAGAATAGGGTTACGTTTAAGATACATCACTGAACACCTTAATTATTTTTCAGTGCTCTTAAAATATATCGCAAGGGAAACAACACCACCCAAGTATCACGCCAACAAATTTTGAGTTTTGTGTTGGAAAAAGGAGTCACTCGGTGAAATTCTTTTCTTTATAGTTTATTGCACATGTAAAACAATTCAACATCACAAGCTGTGATCCCACACGTAGCCAGAAGTCACCATTAAATATGTATTCAGTTGAAAGGAAAAAGAAAAGAAAATATGTATTTACATGATAATACTCAAAACAATTTAAATAAATCCCAGATACCTGCCGAGCAGCAGCCTTTGAGATCCAAGATGGGAGTAAACAAGGAGTGTTATTTAGTGCATCATAAGATGTCTCTTTTGCTTTCCCACAATCAATCACGAAGACAACATCATTGATGGTAATACTAGTCTCAGCCATATTAGTGGCAAGAACTATTTTCCTCACTCCTCCTTCAGGATTTTCAAATATCAACCTCTGTAGATGAAGCAAATCAAACATAATTTTGAGATGGAAGATCAAACAGAAATACAGCTTCAGTGAGAATCAAAACTATCGAAATGACATAGCTTCTTCAATAAACAAAAGGGGTTTAGTTATCTTTGACGAGTTCATTAATTGTTCTTTCTGAATTTGGCTTTGGGTGAAGGCACATTCAGCACCCCAAAGTATTTTATGATGCATCTAGCGTCTTAAAGTATCTTTCAGAAACAGAAAATAAAAAAGAATTTCAAAATGTATCCCTTTTTTCTCGAGGCAACCTCAAATGTAAAAGAACATCTTCATGATTTGACATGCTTATTCTTAATATCGGAAGACAAACCCTTTCTAACTTTTTCAAAGCTATTTGACCTACACATTCTACATAAATTAAATTTAATACTGCCGAATTGGATTCCAAACTAGATTGTGACAACTATAGGTTGTGTTCCCGTTCCCATTTATCACAAGTGAGTTCACCTGCTCAGAGCTGGCCATGGAGCCATGGCATGCAAGAAGCAATACTTTGCTCGGATCACCCAACAAAGGATGAGCCTGGAGTTGATCCTTTAGAGAATTTATGTCATCCCAACCAGTCATAAAAACCAAAATAGCACCTGGCCTTTCATTCTTGACAATGTGGCAAAGAACATGTTCAATAAGGTTAAAACCAATTGAATCAGGACTCCAGCAGGATAATGACTCCCGGGTGTGTAAGCTGTACTCCTTGAAATCAGCAGCTTCAAATGCATCCTAAATGAAATCTCAAGTATTAATGGATATTCATTTAACACCCCCCCCCCCAAAAAAAAAAAAAGGAGCATAATTTGTATACCTCAACGGCTGAAGCAATCTGGGTCTTTCTTTTTCTTAATGCTTGGACCTGTTTCTGCATTTTCCATGTCTTCTCTTGACCATAATCATCAATTTGATTATAAGGGGTCAACCGATATCGAGTCATTTCCAGAATATCCTCAAGAAAATGTGCTCGAACTGGATATGTAAAACCCTAGAAGTTGGGAAGACAGCCCACCCTCATCAACAAAATCCATAAAGAGGAAAAAAAATTAAAAAACAACCCAGACCAAAAGGGCAATAGAAGTGAACCTAGCATATTGTCCACATCATCCATTACAAGCACTTGTATTTTCACATCAGGTATCAAAATAGCTTAATGTGACGTTCGTATAAATGTATGAAAACCACAGGGAAAATAAGGCTGAATTGCCAAATTATTGATGATTTTCACTTTTCATGTGCTTATGCAATTACTAACTAGAAAGAAAATCAACATGTACTCAAACAATGCATATCACCACTCTAGACAAGTTCATGATGAGATCATGTGGGAAAGAAGACGTTTACTGCTGAAATGCATCAGTTTTACCAGACAAGTTAGCATAACAATGAACGGTGACTGATGTTAACACAACTTAAAGAAATGAGTATTGGAGCTTACAGGTATATGCAAAGTTGGAGCCCCACCAAAGTAGGAAGAAAAAAGCTCGGCATTTAAGGTCGCACTCATCAAAATTAACCTAAGGTCTGGACGGCGTGGAAGAAGATCCTTCAGCACAACAAGGAGAAAATCTGACAAAAATAAAAAACATTGGTAAATATAATATTTCACATAATAATTAACAACAACAGAAAAAGAAAAAGATGTAGCTACCTTCATTCATTCCGCGCTCATGAATTTCATCAACAACAACATGAGTCACACCTTTTAGATTTCTGTCCACAAGTAGTCTCCTCAACAATACACCTGTAGTGCAAAACAGAAGACGAGTATCCCTTCCTTTCATACCCTCCAGCCGAACCTTGTAACCAACCTTTTAGAGGATAGAAAAAGCAGAAGCTTAAGTTACTTTTTACATGATACAATGTAAACTTAAGTACTGCGATCTTAAGCCAGCTAAGTGGATTCAGAAACTCACAGATTCTCCCAATTTTTCCCCCCGCTCTGCTGCAACTCTTTCAGAAACAGACATGGCAGATATTCTTCTTGGCTGAGTACAAATTATGCTACAAAGAGCACCACGTGCAGCTTCAATCTCAGACTCTAATATATATTGTGGAAGTTGTGTGGTCTTGCCGCAACCAGTTTCACCTGAGACCACAACAACCTGCACGTTTCCATTTATGCTATCAATTATTATAAATTATAGTCCAGCAAAAGCAAAATATGGATTCCAATATGGCATTCTCAAATATAACTGAACCTACAAGGAAAACATTAGTATTATTTATGCCACATATTACAAGATTATTTGTTCAAAGGCCTATAAATTGAGATGTCGATGTTATCTTATGATAGCTGTGAGGCATAAAAATAATTTGCAGTTAAAAAAAAAAAATCATCATACTTGCGTCTATATCATAAAGCACATCATGTTTTTTTTTTTTTGGGGAGAAAAGTAACTTATTTTGCTAATTCATTAAAATGGTGCCAAAATCAAACTATGAAGAGAACATTTCTTGCATTTCTTCAATAACTGACCAGGTTTCCCTATGTGTGCTTGCATCTATTTTGTTGTGTTTCCATTTCAGTCATCCTTTGTCCTAATATCAAACTGAGCTTCTAATGGGAAGGGAGCCTATTCTTTCTTCTTGGTGGAAAAAATTATAGGTGAGTTAGGTCCCAAGAATTCAGTAGAATCATGGTGGTGGACCTCATAACTCCGTGGAGGGGAAAAAAAAAAAAAACAACAACAACATTCAGAGGTACTAACAAATTACCCACTAGTGAGATCCTTATATCAGCAATGGAATTTAAAACCATATTCTAGTGGGGTATAAATGACATCCTTACCAATTGAATCAATATTTAGCTTCATTGTTGAACTACGTAAAAAGAGGTAAGAACCGTTGCATGAGGAAGTCAAGAAAGCTGGTAAAATAAGCTTAGAGGGCCTAGTAGCAACACAAGGGGTAAATGAAGGAAAACAAAAACTTTGTGCTGACTTGGATGTCATAGGAGAGCAAAGAAGGGAGGTATAGTCAAGAATATAGGCAAGTTGTAGCCCAGGATGAAAGAAACAAGAATATCCTCAATCTGGGAGAGAGCCTACGGTCTTGAATAGCTAGGGTTGAGAATCTCTTCTACATTTTCTGTTCTTTTGTATTCCATCTCCAGAAATGTTGCCTTCTACCAAGACACTATGGCATAAGGGTAGAACCTTTATTGATATTAAAGACAAAGGAAATTTATTAGCTTCATAATAAAAGGGCAGCCAGTAAGAAGGGGTGAGCAGATAGTCTTTAGCCAGTGAAGAGAGGTAGAGGGAGACCAAGAAGGACACTTAAACAAGCCATTAATTCAGATCTCTAAGTTAATGACTTATTGGAAGAATTGGTTTCAGGCAAAGCACAACAATGCCATGTGATTCATATAACCAACCCCATTTAGTGAGATAAAGCTTTCGTTGTTTTTGTTGTTGTATAATAAAAGGGCAAAAAAGAACATAAAAAACCATCAAAATCGATTGATGAGTTGGCTAAATTTAAATCATGGATGTTGCAATCCATATGAAAAACTTTAGATCATTATCCACCTGCTTCAAAGTGCAACACAGTTCATGCCCACTGGAATGCACAAATTTTTTTAACAATGATGGACATCCTAGGGAAAAATAGATTAAAAACTCAATACATTATAAACCATTGTTTCACATGTCCCAAATTATCCATGATCAACAGCATTTTAAGAGTGGAAAATTGATTCTCATTCACAAGCACAAATATGAGATCATGAACACAATATAGTGTCTATTGCTATGTTCTATCCTTTTTCATTGCCTCTAGTAATGAAGCAACACTGCAAAAAAAAAAAAAGAAACAGAGAAAGAATAAAACGTTACAAATTACAGAAACAGAGCACATTTTCTTCCGTTTGTTCACCTGGTTCTCTGAAATGGCTTTCAATAATGTATCCTTTGCCTTGAATGCAGGAAGAGTTCTACGAAATTCAAGCATCTTTTGTCCTTCAGGAGACTCCTATGGAAAAACCAACATATGTTATAATATTTTCACAATTAATAAAAGAAGAAAGAACAATCACATAATAGATATAAAATTAAATCCGAACTTACATTAATAAAATCCAATGATAAACGGTAAAAATTGCCAAGGAATACTTCAAAAGTTTAACCTATTAAATATATGTGTACATATAACATGCCCTATGAAAATCTCCACCAAGGAACCATAGATCACGTTAAGCATTGAGAAGAGAACAATCAAGGACATGTAGTTCAAATTTCAAAGAGAAGACAGATAATAATTTCCACGACTTCTATCAAACGTTTTGTGTCCATACCACACAAAATATTTGCAATGCCAACATATGCATATTAATCTACCAAAGTACTTATAAAATTTAAAAAAGAAAACAGACTGAAGGGTAAACTCAAGGCATTATGACAAATGTGATGTGCATCAGTAAATAAACCTGCCAATCTTCCCGTTGAGAACGCAGTTGCAAACTTTTTCGTCGAAGAATTTTCTCCCTGACAACACTATGCTGTACCAAGGGCTCTGGTTCCTTGAGAATTCCTTCATCCAGAGGGATGCCAGCATGCAACGATGAATCAAAAACACCTCCAAAGCTTGTAGATTTTTTAGAAAGATGAGCATTGAGAAGAGAATTTACTTCTCCATGAACACGAAAAGGTATGACAACCTGTAAGTGCATAGAAAAACAGGTTGATCATGCTACATGTGCTGAGAGGACAGACAACCCAGCATCAAAAACATAAGTATTACAGTAAACACCATTAACAAGTTATACTTTCGGATAAATAACACTCCAATCTTCCATAAAAGAGGTTTTCTGCACCTAACAACTGCTAGTCAACCAACCTCACTTGCTCAGTCTATGACATATAGTATAAAATCAAGTACATCATGAGTCCTTAAAAAGGAGGAAGGGACTTCTTTTCCCTTATATGTCAACCCATGAAAGAGACCAGAAGAAAAGATAAGATGATACCTCCCTCTGTGGACGCTTATCATCCAGATCAGATCTGTAATTTGGCAGAGGTTCCTTGCTAAAGACGACCACTTTTGCATATTGCCGGCTGCCAAAGTACATCAGAAATTGGATGTTATAAACTAAAGGCAACAACAAATTTCAAAGTGTTAAGTTAAAGTACCTATATAAACCCATCCTAGTCGCTAAAGTTGAGATATGCTCAAAATCACGTCTGTCCTTTTTCTCCCTTGAAATCACTTCTCGCTCATCTTTGTTTCGAAGAAGCATGGTCAGCTTCCATCTCCACTCATCAATGTTATCAAGGGATGAACCGCCCTAATAGCCAACAGCATGCAAACACATCAGTGAGAACATGATCAATTTACAAAATTCCCCACTAATAAAGGTCACTGGTACCCTTCTCAGTAAAATAAAAAAGAAAGAAAAAAGGTCATCAGTAAGGCTGGCAAAGTTTTTCTTTTATTAAGGGGAGGATGAAGGGGCCAAAAGGAAACAGCTGAGAGCTCAAAAGTAAGACTAAATCATTGATCATTTATTCATTATTTAGTTAATATAGAAAAAACTCTTTTCATCAACCTAATGAAGAAATTTCAGCTACAAGGACGGATGAATAGCAACGCCTCCTAAGTGACAGGCTATTAAATATCTTTATGAAAGCAATACAAAATAAAACCAGATATATATGTCTCTATCAACTTGATACTAGTGCTTTTTAAATCCATAAAGCAGCATTATGAAATGGAGTCAGACAGTATAACAAACAAAAGGATAAATCATTATGCAAATCTCCATATAAGCACAAGCATAATCATAACCCCAAGTAAGAAAGGTTAGCTGATGAGCCAATAACAAAAAGCAAGACAATGTTATCCCCAGGTTAAGATCCGATCTTCAGTTTTTTTTGTTTTGCATGAAATGATATGCGTTTCAGATAATAACATAGTGTTCACCACCACCACCCCCAAAAAAAAAGAAAAAAGAAAAGAACATAGCAGTTTGTCAGCAACATAATTGTCAATTATTCATCATCCAACACATATTTGGATACAGTTAGCCCCTTCTACTTTGTGCAAAATGTTTCTCCATCAACATATAACAAAATATTATCATGTATCGACTATCCACAAGTTCATACCTAAATGTAAGGCATTTGCTGCCATTTTATCAAGAAAAGCCATTTCATAGTCTTCATCTACACAAGTATCAAACGCATTTTCAGCTAAAATGTTCATGCTTTATCCCACTAAGTGAAATCCGCTACACAAATTGCAAGATGCCATCATGCTCTATCAAAAATGTTTATACTAACAGAACAGTATCATTTCAAAGCATCCAGATTAAGTGAAAAACAGGTGAAGCATTTTAAGATATCCGATGAACAGTAGTGACTTCCAGGTTAAAGTTATTTAACCACAGGATTAAGGATAATAAGAACTTATATGGAGTCCCAACCCTGAAACCTAATTCTTCCATATAATCCTCCGTCAATGGGATTCGCGCATCAATTTTCAAGTCAATTTAACATGGAAAAATTTCCAGTAACCAACTGATAGAACAGATTATAATATCAGATTAGTTAGCTATCTATGAAGCAATCAAAAACTCCTATAGCAGCTGCTAATTTGCCTTGTTTTCACTCAAGCAATAAGGGGGAAAAAAAAAGACACATGACACTCACCATTTGTTGCTGAGGAGATTCCGACTCCATCTCGGAATCATCACTAGACACATCCTGATAAGCAAAACGACCATAACTGGAGCTCTGCTGATACCAAAATGGCAAGGCAATGCTCCTCCGCCTGAAGCTCACACCTTGCCTCTCCTTCCAATCCACCTCAGTCATCCTAGAAGGCGCCACTGAGCCCACGGTTATGTGTGACCTTATCTTTGAGGGCACATGAAAATTCCTCAAGCAAAGTGAAGGATGTCTCACGGAAATGGAGAGAAGTGAGAGTCTTCGAGTTCTGTGGCATAAGAGGAAAAGGGGACCCCTGAGGGACATAGTGGTTGAAGCAGAAGTAGTGGTTCTGATAAAGCCCTGAAAAGTGGCGGAGGAGACCATGGCGGCGCGTGGGAAATAATTTCAAGTAAAGAGTTCAGGCGACATCTCCTTCAACGTCCCCGGAAGCTCGGGGGCAGTGGCGGGCATTGCGTTGAGGCTTCCCCCTCCTAACAATATGTTGTTTTTTTTTTTTGCCCTTTTCTCATATTCTCCCGTCCGGACGAATGTCAAGAAAAATATTTAGATTTTTTTTTTGACAAAAATAATTTAGGGCTTTTTTATTTCTCATTTTAAAAATAATTTTGTATTTTTCTGAATAAAAAAATCAGAAAACTTGCATAGTAATTTATTTTTTGTTGATTGTTTTAAAAAAAATAGTAATAATAATATGTTTTTAAAAGGGTTAAAGTCTGTTTACTCCCAAAACGTTTTCTCAAGTATACCCAACACCCTAAAGTATTTTATAATACGTCTAGCATCCTGAATATTTTATAATGCGTTTGACATCTTAAAATATTTTTTTAAAAGTATCCAATATCCTAAAAATACTGGAAAAAATACTTTATAATGTTTGACACCTTTTGAGAAGTTAATGATGAAGTTAAAAATGCTCATGAAATAATTACTTTTTTAATTACTCATGAAAAGCATAATTACTTATGAGGAAATTACTCCTCCGGTCCTAATTATAAGACCCAATTGACTTATTTGAGGAGATTAAGGAAGTAAGTTAAGTTGGTTATTTATAATAAATAAGTGTTGTCATTCCTAAAATATCCTTGCTAATTAAGTATATTGGCTAAAACTATCATTATTAGAAGGATTATCTTGAAAAAAAATGCATAAATATAAGAGACAAAATAGATCGGGGTCTTATAATTAGGACCAAATAAAAAGTCAAATGGGGTCTTATAATAAGGACCAGAGGAGTAATACATTAATAGCAAAATTACACCACAAAATATTTTAGAATACCAGATATACTTGAAAAAATATTTTAAAGTGTTGAGTGTACTATGAAATACTTTAGAATGCTGAGTGTACTAACAAAATACTTTGAGGTACTTGACGCATCTTAACTCTTCTGAAAAACCAAAATATCAAAACAATTTTTAAACTTGTTTTGTTTTTGTCTTTTGTTTTGAAAAATTAGAAAATATTCTTCTTCTATCACTCAGCGCAGCCACAGCTACAATCTACCAAATGTAATTTTTTATATTTTTATTTCAAATGTAATTTTCTAAAATAATTATTCAAACATATTTTTTAGGGAAAATAACAACAAAAAAAGAAGCCTGAAATTCTTATTTTCCAATTCAGGAAGCTAGGGCTATGAAAATACAGAGAAGGAAGTGTTGCCTTATGTGGCATTTTTGAAATATTGTAAAATGACCCAAAAACCTTTTTATAACCCAAATAAAACGCATTTATAGAGAAGAAAGGTGCAGCAAGAGCTGAGAAAAAGCGGAAGGGAGGATGAACATGGAAAGCAAGTGACACATAGGTTGAAAGCACGTGAGTAGCTGTAGGGAAGGACGATGATGAGAGGGTGAATGTATGGGGAAGCAAAAAATTAAGAGAGAGGGGTGTGATGGTGTGAGAAGTGGATCAAAGTTATTAATGTTAGAGAATAGGACAATATTAAAGGGGAATTCGAATAATAGAGTGGCTTTGTTAGGAGAAAATGAAGCATAAGTGTAGACAGCAAAGAAATGAGTGTTTTGTTGTAAATTATTAGTATTAATGTGTTAAACTCTAATTTGGTTGTGTCAGTTGACGATGTTGGTATTCTTTTAGTGAAATTGGAAGTGATGAAATAAATGTGGTTGTTAACTCCTATAAACACATTATTGGTACAAGTTATGATGCAAAATGACTTTAAAAGTTGGGTCATCTTCTATGAAGGAATTGTTTTGTTATTTTTATGTGGGAGGAAAATTTGTGACAAATGGTGAAGGTGAAGTAAGATATAATGGAGATAACATGAGGTTGAGAAGCATTAAGGATGGGCTAACATTTAAAACATTGAGATTAATGATATGTGAATGTATTGGTGGTGATGGAAGAAATTATGGCATTAAATACATAGTAGCCTTTGATGAGAAGACATTAGTTGACCTCTATGATAATGCTGAAATGTATAACATTTTCCAATACAATAGAAATAGCGGTCATGTGTATGTGGCAAAAAAGGCGAGGAGGATCCCTAATCAAGGAAGAATCTAGAAATATAAGGGCAAGTTTGTCTTAATTATTTGTTGTCATTTGTGAATTTCATCTTGTTAATCGTGTTAATCAGTCTTGTCATTCAAAATGCAAAGTAGAGAGATTATAGCAAATTGAATTGGATGCATATCCTATTAGTTTTGGTTATGATTATGACTGGCTGCCTCAAGAAAATGCTGGTGAATGTGAAAATGATGGAGAAAGTGGGTTATCTAATGTGGACACATCTACTAAAGTTGAAGATATTGATAGTAGAGGGACATTAAGTAGTGAGATAGGTAGTGTGAAATGGAAAGGACTTTTTACAGGAGTGGGTTAACATTTACATGCCTTCTGGGTGTCTATATACAAGTTTGTAGTTGCACACAAGTTTGTGCATAAATAAGTGACAAATAGCAAGAAATGCACGTCAGTGAGATGTAAAGTTAAAGGCTGTTCATGGAAGTTATATGCAAATCATGTGGGAAAGAGTAGTTATGTGTGGCGAATAATGACATTTATAAATGAGTATGTTCATTATGTCCAAGATAGCATAGAAGGTATGCATGGTAGTAGAGATAGATTGAAATAATCAATACTCGCTCCGTTCCTTATTATAAGAGACAAATAACTAAAGTACGTTGATAAAAAAAACAGTTAAAATTAGTTGAGGACAATTAATATGTAAAAAGTATAATGTTTTTTCCAACAATGCCCCCATTAATAAGGAGAGATAGTATGAGAGAGAACAATTAAATTATTAAAAGAAAGAGAAGTGGGAGGGAGAGAGAGTATGAGTTGGAGACAAAATAAATAGGGGTAAAATAGAAAATCAATATAAAAAATAAAGACAACTTTTAAGTGTCTCTTATATATGGGAACATGCCATAAGCATCAAATGTCTCTTATAATAAGGAATGGAGGGAGTAATAATTAATAAGGTGAGAGATCATGTAAACAAACATCCTTTTGAGATAAGGAAGAAGTTAAAAAGAGAGTATGAGGTTGATCTAACATACAAAACAAGTTTGTAGAACAAAGAAAAAGGTATTGGAAGACATATATGATAGATTAGAACAATTGTACACACATGGATATGCCAAAGGCTGAAGGAAACTGATGACAAAACCATGGCTAAATGGACTATTATTGGTAGCCGTTTTGAGTGTGTTTTCATAGCATATAGCTCTTGCATTAAGGTTTTTTGGGCAGTGCGAGGCATGTTCTATATGTTAAGGAAACTGATTTAAGCACACCATACAAGGGGATAATGTTGTCGGTTTCGGCTTATAATGCATATAACAAGAAGTTGTTGCCTTTTACAATTACAATTGTGAAGAGAGAGACATCAGATGACTGGACGTAGTTTTTCTATATGATCCAAAAAATTATGGGTTTTGTGGAAGTGACTATTATCTCAGATTAACATAATGCTATCATCGAAGGTGTAGCATTAATATTTGGTATGCTTTTTGTTATAAACATATTAAAGAGAGTTTTAGTTTTGAACTCGTGGAATCGAATAACTAATAAAAAAAATTCATTTACTAGCAACAAATAAAGACATCCTTTAACATTGCAAGTTCTTTTTCTTCTTCTTCTTTGACGTTTTCATAAAGTCTTTCATTTCGTTCCACAGGTTGTTAATAATGTCTATTGCCTAATCATAATTTTCATACTTGTCCATCATGCAGCACATTACTTTTAACAAACTTAAATATATAGTTATACTTGAACTTGAATATAAGAAAGCTCCAATCATACAAAGCATAAATAGGAACTCAAAATTGTCATTTTCTATCCCAAATAATATCTTTTTTAGTATTGGATAAATGAAACCTTCCAATGTGTGTCCTTTAACCTCTTATATATTGGGTCATCCTCTCTAGCATCAAATTTCACTTCCTCGCCACCGTGAGGTACATCCAGAAACTCATGAACATCTTTTGCTTTAATCGGCTCTACTTGCCCACTAATAGTAAACTGAAATGTTGGTGAGTTGTAGGATTTCAGTAATGACACAGTTAGATCACGTGAAAATAACTTCACATCCACATTACACAGGCTTCCAAATCCCATCCTCTCAACTTTTTGCCTCAAGTCATCATTCTTTTTCACAAAGTCAGCTACTTAAATCTGGGCAATGAGCAATGTGTATGCAAGGGAACAACATACTTCTTTTTCTTATCTTTCTCTGGCTTTGATTTCTTTGCTCACTCATTATACCTATCACTTTGTTCCTGAGTCAGCCCCTTACATGCCTTTCCCACTTCAATTTTTTGTTATGCATTTTTAAACTTTTCCCCTCGTTTCATCATATACTTCCTTGTAAATATCACCAATCCACTGTGTATTCCTTTACTTAGGGATCTTTCCCTTCTTCCAACACCATCTTATATAATCCTGCAAAACAATCAATATACATTCATTAAGTATTAATTGTTCTACATATAATCAATGTATGGTCATTTCCTAATATATTATTGTCATTTTTAGTTCCTTCATCGTCATTATGAATCTGGTCATTGTTTAATCCGTTCTCGTCATTATCTATTGCTCATTCGTTCCACAAATTGCTTACTATCCACACATATCTTCTATAAAATCTAATCATTATCTAATCCATTAAAATCATTCCTTAGTCATTTCTATGAAATCGCAACAATCTTATACTTCATTTCCTACCATTTTTCAATCAATTTATAATTAATGGGATAACCAACCACAATCACCATTCCAGTCAATAGCAATTTTTCCTGCTTATTTCAAAACCCATTTTTCGCTGCCATCATCGTGCTCAACTTCACTCTTCAAACACTAGCTTGTCACATAGATTAACGGAAAAGACCTCTTCTTAATACAAAATTTATAAAACAATTTTAAGAAGATAACCATGGTAGGAAAAAAATTGAGTTAAAGTGTTAAAATACTACCATAATTAT